CCGAACAAGTATTTAATTGCATGACTGCACCTTATATCCTCCTTTCACCATGCTCGGACGCCAAATCACCCGGCCAAAGGTGAGTTGGACCAAGCGACACGCCACTCATTGAGTCCAATGAGGGCTTACCACGTGGTAATAATTAACCGAACAGAAATTTTCATTAACACCATACATTAAAATACCCTGACAAGTCATGCATCATTCAAATATCCAAACAGGAATATATCCGAACAATAATATCTCATCATGATAAACAAAAATAAATTTTTAACCCACTTGGCAATAATTTCAAACAAGTATATACAGTATTTATTTTTAATAATTCATAATTTTTCCAAACAACAAAACAACACATAACCATTCACAAACACACTTATCACAACACATTAATAATGGTTACCTTGTGTCTCGAATAACAAGTTCCCCTTCACAACTCCTTTTTCACCACTATCTTTATCAATATAATCTACATAATTATTTCACAATACTATATATTAATTTTACATTAAAATAAATAACTCTAATTTAAATAGTTAGAAAGTCTTAGATCTATAATCCATATTAACACTAATTTAAGATTTACGCCTCATTTAACTTTCCAAATTCTTTTTCTAAAATTCTCATACCCTAATAAACTATTTTATCCTCAAATCACTTCTAGTATCACAATTTCATCCTTCTATATTCTAAAAATTCATCCAAAAATAAATTAAAAATTTTAAAATTATCCTGAAGCCTCAAATCACCTTTCTATAACCTCAAAAATACCTATTCATACTTAAATAAATATTTAATAATCATAGGTTTATCCCTACATCTCAGATTGCACATAAATTCAACCATATAGATCTAAATTTTTAACTCAAAAATTCTTAAACATGAGTTTCAACCTCAAGAAAATATTCTATAATATTTATTATATCCCTAAGAGTTTTAACCTATATTTTTAATCCATCGTATCATCAGATTAACTATCCTATAGAAAAAATCTTAATCAAAATATTTACTCTATCCTACAAAATAATCATATCACTAAAAAGCTAATATTATTTAGAAAATAACTATAAAATTAATTTTGTAATTAAATAAATTTTTAAATGCTAATCTAAACAGAAAAGTTAGAACATACCTGAAGAAAAAGAAAATAATCCCCCCTTGCGAGAAAAACGCCGAGCAACGTGAGAGGAAGAGAGAAAAATAATATAAAAATGGGATTGTGGTCCCAAAATTATATTAAAAAAAACTATAGGTTCGAATTTAATTATTCAAATCTTTGGGCCAAAAGTTGCAATTTCCTCTAAATTGCATCTTAGCCTCTCATGCTTCCTAATGCACACACCCCCTCCTTTTTATACATGAAGGCACCTCTTCTCTTCCCTCATCTAACCAATGTGGGACTTAGAAACAACAACCTTCCACCCCCCCCTTTTTTTTATTCCTTCTACCTTCTCTTTTTTTTTAACACACAATAAAAAATTATTTATGTATTATATCTTAACTAAATATTGCTTATGTGATTTTAAATTTAAATTTTTAAATTTATAATTAAATACCTAAACATAATATCATTTCTAAATAACCTCAAATAATATAAATTCCTATTATTATCATTTTTTTTTAAAACCTAAATTCCACAATTTTTTTATTATATAAAAATCAGGATGTTACAAAGTGATCCCAAACAACTTGTCAAGATTCAGCTGTCAATACTAGTTGAAAATCTTTCTATTCTAGTCTACACAGAAAAGTTGAAGATTTCCAAGAGTATGAAGAACAAGAAGAAGAGTATTATGAAGATGGTGAGAAAACAAGCAACACGACTTCTACAACCATGCCACACTCACTAATAACACCGCCACCCTCGTCCATTCACATGATCAACTGCAACTCAACACATATAGCTATTTAGAATCATTTGGGGACAATTAGAACTAGGTCTTTTTTATGAGTACTATGCAATTTTGTTTGTGTCAGGGTGTGTTAAGGAGCTAGAGGAGAAGGGGATGGGTGTTCGCCGTACACAAGCGTGTGGAGTCGTCACAAGCATAGAATATTCTAGAGTTATTATTTCCACGAGGATTTAGGCAAATGAGAGTTAAATTTTATTATTAAGCTTTAAGATAGGTTGAGCAAAATTAAAAGTATATTTGTGTAAAAGTAATGAAAATCTAATTAAAACTGTTTTAAAATAATTAAAACTTATTGAAATTTTGACTTTTAGAAGTGAGGATCTAAGATTATCTCTCTCCTTTATATTTCATAAAACTTAAATTAATTCCTCTCAAATATATTTTTAATGAAAATAAGTGTTAGTTTAAGATTTTAATTCATTTGAAAAAGCTTTCTCAAGTCAAAATTAAGTATATTTAAAAACACTAAAATTTCACATCTTTTAAAAATAATTAGTAAAAATAAATTTTAAGCACCAATATTAATATAACTATAAAAGGTTAATAAAATATCTCTATTTTACCAACAAAACCATCCATTTATTTTTGTAAATTTCAAGTTCAATACTATTTTATCCAAATTTTACACCTAAGTTAACTCTCTCAAGCACAACTCAAGTGAACAAAACAATCTAAATGATGATCAAGCACTTAAAATCATTAAGCCTGGGATAAAATAAACACATATATATCATTAATTATTAAAAGAGAGGAATATTCAAGTCTTAATCCATACAAAGGTTTGAAATAATTTTAGAATAAGAGAACTAGTTACTCATATTCGAAAAGAGCCATAAATGTCACAATATACAGCATCCATATTAGAAACAAGGAGAGAAAAAGGAAGAGAAGAAGAAAAACCAAAGGAAATTCACTTAAATCTCTTCAAATCTTCAATCCTTAGCCAAATCTCCTTCAAAAGCCTTAAACCTCAGCAAAGCAAGCCTCAAGAACACTCTTAAAATTGTAGCTCTCTCCCCAAATTGCAAGAATTTTGCATGTAACTCTAGCTTCAAGTCTGATTCAAAAACGCATAGCTTCAGTAAAAAGCTTTTAGCTGCGGCCAAAACCTCTCGGTCAGATCTCTCGACTGCAAAACCTCTCAGTCAGAATCTCTCAGCTGCAACCAAAACGCGTTAGTGATATGTTGTCTCTGGCTTTCGACTGAGGACGTAGGTTTGTCAGTTGAGGCCAAAAGTACTTAGGCTAGAGTTTAATTCTTTACTCTTTGTCTTAACTTTTTCTTGATATAATAACTTCATAACTCCTTCTTTGCTCCTCAAATAATGCTCCAACAACTTAAGAAGGCAAGAAATTTTGTGAATCCAAGATTAATTATATCAAGATAAAGAATTATACACAATTTACATCAAGATTTTTATTTAAATCCAAGTGTGAGATATGCACATTTTCCTATCATATGTATCAAAAGTATGCACAATTTCATCAAAAAACATATGAAATTATAGAAAAATGCACTGAGATAACATAAATTTCTATAGATTATCAATGGGATACAAGTTGGTTAAGATGGAGAAAGAGAGAGTAGACTAGTAATCAAGAGTGGAGGAGACAAGGACAAGCATGAGCTAAGAGGAAAGAGTGTTTGAAAGTGATGAATGAGAGAGAGGAATGGAGGAGAGAGAGCTAAGACATCATGAGCAATATTAAAATTATACAATTTCTTCTCATCGTCATTGGAGGTGATAAAGGCATGAGACAAAGGAAAAGTGGAGAACAACCAAGCAAACTCTCAAAGTGATGCTTGCATAATAGAACTCATGACTTGCAACAAAATAAAGCCAACATACTCTCACCAGCAATCCATGAGTTTGATAAGTTGGTGTGAGATGAAGTAAAGACTAGAGATGGAGACTTAAGGAGAGATCAATGGAGGGAAGAAAGAGAGGGATTTTTATATTATAAAAAATAGTATAAAAATAATGTAGGACCTAAAATAATATTTTATAATAAAAAATATTAAAAATTCAAACAAGATCCACGTAACGGAGCTATTAGTCAAATTAACGTCAGTGCTAGAAAAGGGAATCTTTTAAATTTAGAGGTAAAATAATCTTAAGTTGAATTTAAAGGCATTTATGTACTTTTGCATATAGTTCGGGGCTAAAGTTAACTTTTAACTCATTTTTTTAATGCCCGCCTAGAGCTCAGAGAAGTGTTTTTTGAAGAACGTATAAGTAAAAAGGGAGGTATAAAAGTAAGGTTGAAAAAAGGTTTGGTAAATATGAAAGTATCATAACGTACTTCCCATGAAAACTCTCTCACACTACGAACAATGTCAACGGGAAGTTGTTATAGTAGTAGAGTCTCATTAAGAGGAGTCTCAAGTTCGAACTTAACGTTGACATATCTGTGTGCATTATTGTGTCAGTCTCCCTCTCTTATTGGGAGTGTTATGTTAGAGGTAACTTAAAAAAAGGGGGGGGGACCACCACTTGAAACAAACTCCAGCCACCAACCAAAATATCTTGCACACATGAATAAAATGACCGTAATTTACTGCAACCTTTTCCAAGTCCGTTGAATGAAAATTTAACAATTGATGCATTAAGGTACCAGAAAATTGGGGGCCAGTGTGTGGGGAGAAGAAGAACATTTCCTGTTAATAAAATGTAACAAAAATTGTATCAATTTAATTGAATTTTTGAATTTGAGTCCAGCGGCAAAATTTTTATATGAAAGGACCTTAGTCTAGATTAATATGGCTCCCATCAATGTCGTCATGTGGATTCACACAAAAAAATAAAATTAAAAAAACAAAAACAAAAAAATTGAGGATAAAATAAAGAGTTAAGAAAGGGAAAAGATTTTTCTTTCTTTCTTTTTTGGATACGTGAAGATTTATTTTCTCTTCACCCTGGCTTGGCATCCATTCTTACTGCGTTTAATTATAAAAAAAACCTGTCTTTTTTTTATATAAAATTAATCCAACCCAAAAAAAAAAAAAAACAAAAGGTGGGAGGAAGGGATTTGAGATTTCTTTCATCTGCGTTACGCTTCTGCCTCACTGTTATAGATGCACGTGTTCCGAAGAAGCCATCATTAATCGCTTCTTCCAAAACTTGTAACCTTCCTCTTCCACCTGCGCAGTGTTCAGAGACGCCCATTTTTCAACTAATACGAACTCTGCTTCATTCTCACCCACCCCAACCTTCCCTCCTTTCTTGGGATCTCTTCGACCTTTTCTTGAAGCCCTTCATTTTCCAGACTCCAACTTCACTTCTCCTTGATCTCTTCACTATTGCTCTCTTTCCTAGATCCGATCACATTCTGCATTGCCCTGGGTATTGTCCCTCCGCTTTGACCCCTTATCTCTGAATCTGCCTTCTTGGGTTTTCACTTCTTCTTCCTGGCTTTGTTGCGAAATCAATTTTTGTTTCTTTTGAATCCACTTTTCGTTTGTGGCAGGTATTGCTGTTTCCGGAAATGCCTAAATCTTTGATGCAATTGCCAAGGCGGAGGCTTTGGTCCGGAAGATGAACCTTTCTGAGTTTTAAGAAGGACCTCATCGTGCTTCTTATCTTGGAGTATCGCATATCTTATCTTGGAGTATAGTATATCAGCCTTCGTATGCTATACTGGAGTGTCAGATGTTATAGACCCGCTGAAGTCTATATTTTTCCGGGGGTCATTCTTTGAAACCCAAAACAAGCAAAATGATGAATAAAACGCTTTTCCTCACTTATCTCTATCTTCTCATCTACATATTGCTTTCCTCTGGAGTCATATTGTACAACAAGGTAACAATCCGGGTGTCTTTTGTCTCTCATTGGCTTTCTTCTCCTACGCTTGTGTAGAAGCATGAAGGATTTTCTTTTTCTGTTTGCAGTGGGTCCTCTCTCCAAAATACTTCAATTTTCCGTTTCCCATAACACTCACCATGATTCATATGGGTTTTTCTGGGCTCGTGGCATTTTTTCTCGTCCGGGTCTTTAAGGTACGTCATCCGTTTATACTCTGGACATATTCATTCCAATGTCTGCTTTTTTCTGTGTTGTGTCCCCAATGTATCTATCTATCTTGCCAGGTTGGCACTTCGTGAGCTTTACTAGTGATTAGATCGAGCCCATTTCAGTTAATTGTATTGGTGTTTGATCGTTATCAGTGATTGTGATGTGGCTTGATTTAAATATTGCCATCAATCAGTCTCATCACTTTGTCCTGTCATTTTCATTGCCTATTATCTTCAATGCTGGTACAGGCGAAGAATATTTTGGTAAAGTTTTTGGGTTGTTTTTTAAATACGCGTAGTCGTGATTATTGTGATCCTCGCTAGAATTGAGGGTTTGGTCTTGATTGCATCACCTTTGCCAATCTGAAGGTAGTAGGGAGTTTAAGCCTTGCTAATGTCAGTTTAAGGATGCTTATATAAATCACTAAGTGCATGCAAGAGTTGCTGGAAGTAAAAAATACGGTGTTGTACTCCATTCCGCTTTTTAGTTACAAATAATGGTAACTAAGGATAGTTTACTCTAATACAATGGATAAGGGCGTGCTTTTGATAATATCAGATGGCAAACATGTAGATAAAATTTCCAGCAGGCAAGTGTAATACCAAGTTCATTGTGAGCATGGGTAATTAGAGTTAGGAATTTAGTATATACTTTCAAATATTAGTATCCGTTTGTGGGATCTTACCAAAGTTTAGTTGTGGTCGTTAACCCACTAGATAACCATCCAAGTGTTCATTATCTCACGAAGAATATGATCAAATTTGATAACAGATAGCTTATATGAGCAACAATTCTGGTTATTGGGTTTGCCCGAGTTGATACAGCTGTTATATTCTTTCCTAAAGTACATTACAAGTTACGGTGACCAAGGAAAATGAAATTTATGATATAGAGGAGGATGTCATTGATTCTTCGGCTCCTACTGAGTCCAAACCTTTTTGTACCTCCAGTTTCATCCTTGAATTCCTTGTTCTGCTGTAGTTTTTCCCGAATCCATTATGTAAATGCTCTACTTTTTCTTGGGCATGCTGCTGTATCTTTGTTGTCAATGTTCCATATGCTATGCTTATCTAACATCTTCAGTATGTGAGCTTTCGCAAGCAGCCACCCATGCTTTATAAAGTTCCATGGCCGATTATTTGACTTGTTCAATGAGTGATGTTAAATGTGCATATGCTCATAAATGCAGGTTGTGTCCCCGGTGAAAATGACATTTGAAATGTGAGTTTGAATTTTTCTTTTGCCATTGTTTTGAAGCTGTCTTATGCTTTCATTCTATTGTTTAGCTGCTTATTGCTCTCTAAAACAGCTATTTCTTTGTGGCAGATATGCAACGAGTGTGGTACCAATCAGTGCCTTCTTTGCATCAAGTCTTTGGTAAGCACTGAAATTTTAGCGGACTGAACGTTTTTATAATAAGCATTAAGATTGATTGATGGTGCATGTCACTCATGCATGTTTCTCCTACCTGTGTTTGATTCAAGTTCAACAGGTATTGATCTTTCTATTTGGTTGTGAGTGTTGAACTTGGTTGGAAATTGTTGAAGTGAGAGTTAGTTTAGTCTCAAAATTGAAATGAATATGCAAGGTCAGCATCATGTTCAGGTGCCTTGAAATAAGCTAGTGGCTCCTTTTGATAGTTATCTATTGTCAAGTGGATCCAATCAATGCAATGTTATCATCGGGGGCCTCAAAATAGGTTATTGGTTGGTTGTTTCAAATCTTTTCCTTTAGCTTTCAGAATTTGATTATGTGTGATCTACAGTTTAGTTTGCATCACTATCAATTGTTGGAAAATTATTTACATGTTTGTTTGTTTAGATATGTCCATTCTTCCCAGAAATTTTGATAGTTCATGTGTATGATTGGAAGATTATTTTGAAGTGATCACTATTGTTTCTTTCTTTCTTTTTATTTGCAGTCAGTTTTCATGTTTACATCTCATTCAATACTAATTTTGAAGATATAATTACAGCAGCTATATTTTTTTGGTTGATATAGGTTTGGCAACACTGCTTACTTGCACATTTCTGTGGCCTTCATCCAGATGCTCAAGGCTCTAAGTATGTTATAATGAATTTGGCATGTTTCTCTTACTTCCTCAGGCCTCAGCTATGGTCATCAAACTCTTTAAGTTTTCTGTTTCAGTGCCTGTGGCAACGTTTGTTGTGGCTGTTTTGTGCGGCACTGACAAAGCAAGGTGTGATGTGTTCTTGAACATGGTGCTGGTCAGTGTTGGAGTTGTCATTTCCTCCTACGGGGAAATTCACTTCAATATAATTGGTACACTTTACCAGGTCACAGGCATCTTTGCAGAAGCTTTAAGGCTGGTCTTAACACAAGTCCTTCTTCAGAAGAAGGGCCTGACGTTAAATCCTATTACAAGCTTATATTACATAGCTCCATGCAGGTATAGTGCTGTGATTTGAATTGGACTTCTGTTAGATGTTCAAGTTTGAGACTGTACACTGTACAGCATATTTTTCGTATGTGACCTGAGTGTTGTAATTGATAAGCATCCAATTGATTTGTGAACCATGCTCTTCACTTGGCGAGTGACTAATAACTATTCATTCATATATATATATCACCCCATTTGTCTATACATACTTTATGTTTTAATCCTGATATGTGGGCAAAGTAGCTGCACTTGGAGATTCAAATGTGAGAGTACTGCCTAGATGTGCTTATAATAATGGCTTCTTCTAGTTATCAGATTTTTATCCGATGTCAACTTTTTCCTGTTGTATGCATTTGCAACCTAATGGATGACATAAGTGCATATTCCATTATCCATTTAAAGACGTTAGACTCTTAATTTGTGCATTTGTGTGTGTGTGTGGCACTTGCTAGATGAGCTGCTAACTTCATACCATGACAAGTGCAGTTTTGTGTTCCTCTTTGTGCCTTGGTATTTACTGGAGAAGCCTGGAATGGAAGTTTCACAGATTCAGTTCAATTTTTGGATCTTCTTCTCCAATGCTTTATGTGCTCTGGCGTTAAATTTCTCCATATTCTTAGTAATTGGTCGAACAGGAGCAGTTACCATTCGGGTTGCTGGTGTGCTGAAAGACTGGATACTAATAGCCCTTTCAACAGTTATATTTCCTGAATCTACAATAACTGGGTTGAATATAATTGGCTATGCAATTGGTAAGATTTGTTTGAAACAATGTCGTCTTAATTTTGATCACCCTCCCCCCTCACATATTTTTTACATGCAGCATTATGTGGTGTCGTCATTTACAATTACATTAAGGTTAGGGATGTTCGTGCCTCTCAATCAGCACCTGAAAGTCTTCCAGACCGAGTCACAAAGGTCAGCACCCTGCATATCCATGTATCCAGTTATGCAAATGCTTTGTCAGGGCTTTTGTGGCCTGGTTAAACATATTTTTCCAGAGCTATACCCAGCATGTTTTCTTTCTTTCTTTCTTTCTTTTTTTTCTTTTCCTTCCTTCCTTCTTTTTCCTGAACTTTATCAGAGCATGTTTGAATTTTAGGAAATTACGTCAGATCTAGCACGTGGCGTTAAATTCTTGAGTGAATTGATGTTTTGGTCCTTGATAGATGCACCCTTTCTTGTTTCAATCTTCATCTTTTGACCTTCTCATGTTAGCCTTCTACATTGTAACTTTTCTTTAGAGTCATCAAGTCCGGATTGGATAACATAAATTTTTTTTTTTTTGGACAGTAAGTTAAAATTAATTACATGGTTATATGACCTGACCAAGAGCTGACCTAGCTGTTAAAGACTTGGTGGATTAACACAAGCACCAAAATGGCGTGTTTCCAACAAAAACAGTGTTTTGGTATTTTTACTTTCCCCCATTTCAATCACAATACAGTATGTAACAGCTCTGTTAGCTCTTAGCTAGGCTTCTCAACCACTTCTCTTAGCTAGTTTATTGAAGACACCACTCTGGAAAAGGAAAATGTTTATGTTCTTCATGGACAAAATGTATATTGATTCTTCCTTTCATTTGGCAAGTGTTCTTGATGAAAATAAATCCCAATATTTGGAATGACAGATTCAGAATGACTGTTGCAGGATTGGAAGTTTGAGAAGAGGTCGTCTGACATATATTTGCCAAATGACAATGTGGACAATGCAGGAAGCAGTGGAAGTATTGGTTCTGCATCTGACATGAATGTTGATGAAGAAGCACCTCTTATTCAATCTTCTAGGCTATCTCATATTGGTCGGACGCAGCTAAACAGCCTAGGATCTGGAAAATGAAAAGCCCAAATGCAGATATTCATTTTGAGTTGAGAAAGAGGAAAGAAAAGAGCAAAAGAAAAAAGAGGAGGCAATGCACCCCCCATTTCCTCTCATTTTTTTCAGGAAAAAGTAGGTTTTATAATGGAAAGCCAGATGTTTGTTCGTTGTAATTACTAATTACTTTCCTGCGGTGGATGCATCATTATTAATGCCTGGTTCAAGTTTTTGAGCCATTTATGATTGACTGTAACTGACTCTCTTGGACAGCCAAGTTTTTCATTTGTTTCTTCTCAGTAATTCAAACGTTTTTCTCAGTAATTCACCTTTTCTTAGACTTTTAAAGGCTGGGATTTACATGGATATAGATATGTTGATTCCTGCTTGATTTTGACAACTTGTCCAAGCCCTTGTCCTTAATCCTTAAGATCAAGTAGAATATGAGATCTTTTATTTTCTGTCGTGTAAGGGCTTAGTTTCCCTCCTTGTTAAATATTCCGGTGTTCTGATTTTGTGATGGCAAATTGACTGGCCTGCTTTTATATATTTGGTTGGCTTCCTCGTCAGCCAAGCCCTGCCCCGAGGTATTAATGACCGAAGGTTCTCAATATGAATACTTTACAGCCAAAATAGAACTGCAGATTTGCTAATTATGAATTTTTATTCTAATAATATGAAATTGTGGCATGATAAAATGCATTTCCTCTTGTCTTATTTATAAGACATTTTTTAAAAGTAATATTTAGCCAAAAATATAAGATATTTTATAATAATTAAATTACTTTTTAAATTTTATTTCTTTTTGATTAACATGAAGTTATTTAATATAGTCGTATTATTATTTAAAAATAAAAATAAAATATAATTTTATTTTTTTATAATATAATTTTTATTTTAATATGTATGAAATGATTAAAAATATTTTATAATAAAAATCAAAGAGAGTATGTTATTTGATTCAAATACGTTCTATTAAGAATTTGTTCAAGTTAGATAATTAATAATAGGAAATAATTTATACATTATTTTTTATAGCATTGTCGTTGCTAGAATGAGATTTTAATAAATTTAACGAAGGACAACGTAATTATATTACATCATCAATTTATTCCACTCTTTCCAAACCTAAACATTAATACCCTACACCAATATTACTGATTCGAGAATAAGACATCCATGTCGCCGAATTTCCCATCCTCCCTTCAAAACGGCTCACTTGATGTATCATTCTCGTACTTTCTCTAATGACAAACTCATCCAAAATTCATGATATGATTGATCTACAAGGCTACAATACAATCAGCTAATGAGCACCCTCATAATTGGATAAAGCCCTTAGACAGAAGATTAAGCCAGCAACTATGCTCACGCCTGTCGGGCAAAAAATAATAATAATAATAACCTACCGAACCCACCAGCGCGTGGAATCCCCATTCAAGGTTTAATGAAAGCATCTTCCTACTTCAAAAAAGGCATGGAAACATATACAGAAACAGGATACAGTGAGGAGACACTGAAAACACAAGTAATTTATGTGCAACACAGAACCGGAGGACGCATTCGAGTACAGCCATAAATTACAGATATCAACGCAGAGAGAGAGAGAGAGAGAGAGAGAGAGAGAGAGAGGAGAAAAAGGAGAGGGGGTACATCTTTGAAAAGGGCATGTACAGCGAGGAACATTCTGTCTAAGCCCTGAACATTTTTGGCGTGTTACATGAAGAAGCACGGGCAATCGAAAAGCAAAAAGGGCTCTCGCGTGATTTACAAATAAATCACAGACAGGACAAGAACTCAGGCAAGGGAAAAAAACAAAATCAAATGATACAACTAAATCCCCCAAACAGCAATCCTCAGTCTTCCAATAAACTGAGAATAGGAGTCAGCATGGTAGGACAGAGAAAGCCCCATCAAAATAAAAATTAATCAATATGTTGTCCAGTCCTTGCGTACAAAAGCCTCCTAGAGGGAACTGGTGGCGCCAACCCAGGGATGTCCCTAATGTTCTTGTTGCTGGGATTCACAATCTGAGAAAGAGCAGTGCCAATTAAAACACAAGCATAATTGAAAATCCAAGGAAAGGCAACATACACAAACATATCTCACGCGTTTGAATTTGGGATTAATTGAACAGATAGTTTATAGATGAAACTCATTGTGGACCCTGACAAAATAGGTAAATTTTCAATTCAGTCACAGATTACTTCTTTCAATTTAGCCTCTCAATCATTAAAATGCCAACAAAGTTGCCCTTATTTCCCTTGCTCATACAGAATTCAACACACTGTTCAGTTGGCATTGAATTTTCGATGGAAATGGGAAAGATGAACAACAATGAAAACATTTTCGGAGACTACATTGAAAGAAACGATTTGTGGAGGACCAAAATAAAGTTGGCAAATATACCAAGAAGTACAAGAGAAGTTTTATCCCTAGAAAGTTTCGTAAATAATACTTTTTTCAAACCAATTTTTACAGTATCTTATCCTAGTTTCACCAAATAATATATTATTTGAGAAATATATCCAGGTTACTTTACTTGAGAAAAAGAGAACTTCAGGCTAGGATTTCTTAAACTAAACTTATGAAAGAAAGATACCTTCACAACAATAATGGCTATAACACCACAGACGATAAGGAACAAAAATAGCATGATGCACTTATCTGTAGCCACCTGGTAAATAGCATGAAAAACACGTAAGCATCACGAAACTAGTATAAAGGAACCTTTACATCGCATAATATGTATTGCATAGAAGTAATAAGAATCAAGCAACCTGTCTACCAATTTCTTTCACGAGCTGGGAGGCCTTCTTAATAGAGAACTGAATTGAATCCAGATCATTCACAATGCGGCCCATTTGATCAGTCTGCAATAATTTTGGGAAGGGGGATTATAGGGTCAGATTATGCGACCCATCATGTAGACTCTTTCTTATCAAAGTACTCAGTGCAAATCAAACTTACTTGGCCCTTCAAGGTAGAGGCAGTTTGGGTGCCCACCTCAATCGTTTGATGTACAACCTACAATTCAACAGAGTTCAGAACCAACGTATATATGAGCAACAGAGACGTATCAATAAAAAGTGACTCACCTGTTTGGATCGTTCAATCGCCTGATCAGTCTCATCCATTCTCTTCATCCCAGCATCAACAAGTTCTTGATTTGACATAGCTACAGGACAAACCAACCAAAGATTGTAACAAGATATATTTATACCAATTGCCACGCAAGCATAAAACATGCAGAGAAGCCTCAATTAAGAACCCCAAGGAGGATGCCTAAAAAGAAAAAAGAAAAAATTAGTGCCTGATATGTCAATGCTTGAGGGGTACAAGTAACAACACCAAACACACAGACCTACAGTGAAATGAGTTCCAAATTATATAGCACCATACTGCCATTATCTCTTCAGTATCTGCTGTGATTTTTGTCAAATCAGATGTATGACCTTTAAACTTAATTTCCCTCAAACAAGCCTTCATAAAATTTCAGTTGCCAACCAAAACCAAACTGTTGCTCCCACAAGATCGTCAAAATTAACCAGAACATATAGCATAGCACACAGTTTGGAAGCAGAGACACAATTGCATTAACATTAAGGGTAACATCTTACTTGATGCCATTTGAACATTTTCTTCAGCTGTAGGTTCACTAGATCCAGCTCCCATGTCAAAGAGTTCAAGCTTCTTATTACCAATGGTATTCATGTACCTGTCAATAATCCAAAAAATAGCATAAATCCTTCAATCGCATTTTCTTCAATTTTAATTTTGGGAACAGATTATACCATTAAGTTAATTCTGTAAACTTCATTCTCCAAGCAAAATCAAAATTAACACACAGACGATACCACCCTATTTGTAAGTTATGAACAGTATGACTCATACTTTGTGCGATGCATGGGTCCCATGTCTAATTCGTTGTAATTTTGACAGCGTGCAACTAGGAAAATTTGATATTGAAGGAACATTTTATTTTTCAAATTGACGAAATGCACAAATCTAGAAACATGCACATTATTTTATAGATGAGGCAACGGAATTTATCATCCAGCTTCATTTTTATTTTAAAGAAAATGGGATACTAAAAAGTCGCAAATTTTCAAATAACTAACTACCCCCTATTCATTTAACTAGACAATGGAGGCACCATGAATCATCAAATAATTACCCACTACCTATTACTAGTCATTCAGTTATCTTTGTATCTATATTGATGTATAGTCCCTTAGGATTCCCGGCTTTATTTACATAAAGACTACACATCTAATAACTAAACATTATTTTGACAACCCCCTCATCAACCACTGCTAACCTTCTTCATAACTACCCTGCAATCTCGCCATATAAGATACTCACTATTCCTTTATGTAACACAGTTATCCCTCTAGATCATCCAAAATACTTAATTTTCCTATTTTAAAAATAGAAAAAGATGGCATTTAAAACTTTCAAAGCAACTAAGTCATTTGAATATTTATCTTGACAGTTATCTTAGTTGTTTAAATTTGTTGATATATGATATATGATATAGAGTATGAAAGAGACCAAAATCTTACAAAACCACGTATACTAGTATAGAAATACTATGATTTTGACAGCAAAGAATTCTAACATGAAAGATCAGTATTAAACATGGGAGTTGTTCAAATACATTCATAAGAATAAATTTTATTCAGTATTTGTGTCCGAGATGGTAAACTTACGTTTTTCTCAAACCCACATAAGAGTTTAGCTCCTTGATCTGCAAGAAAAATGAAAGAAAAAAAATGACTAGGCTGTTAGTGTGCAAGCATATGCATACAAAAATATATCAAGAATCACCGGACCTAATGCCAATTACATCAAAATCATTTCCATAAGTCACAAGGCAGAAATAGGCATGCTTTTTCAAATAAAAAGTAACAAAAGACTGAAAGATTTTGAGTGGCAGTCTTTTCAAAAACCAAACAACTGATAAATAGAAATAGTAGAAATATATAAATAACCAAGACAGACTAGCTATCACTATAGTTTTGGAATTTAGTCACTGCTAAAGTTCTAAGACAGGTCACACTGGGACTGCCCCCAAGTTTGGTTCAGGGCAAGAGGACGGATTTTGGTCCCCTCCCCTTGTTAGGGTAGTTAGAATGAAAGGGAAGGGAGGGAAAATTTTCTTAACATTTTCCCTCCCCTCCCCTCCCCTCCCCTCCAAAATGGGGGCCTATGGAGGGGAGGGATATAATTTTGTTGTATTTGATTAATTTACCCACGTCACATTTTGATAATCCAAAAATACCCCTCTCCAAATAAAACCTAACTTCATTTTCGATCATCCTGAGCCTATTTTTCTCTCACGCCATCCCCAACTATGACCTGCACAGTGTCTGTCATCCCTGTCGCCACCCATGTTGCAACCCTTGTTGCTGTCGCAGCCCACATATTTCTATGTTGATGGAATATCTGAATTCGAATAAGCCCTCCTTGTCTTCAGCTTTGTTGTAGATAGTAGTTGAAAGGTAGGGGCACGGACTTGAAAGCTCTGAACTTGCCTACATTGCTCAAATGCTCATTCTCCACTCTGCTTACATTTTGAATCCCAGCAATTCACTGCTTAGTCATTTTAACATTAAAAAAATCCAATTCCTCCAAACGATTGTTCCCTTTCCTACCTGACATTTTGACTTGCTATAATGCTAATCATTGCTTGTTTATGTAGGAAGTTAACATTGACATAGTCTCTTGGTTTATGTAGGAAGTTAACCTCGCTAAATGGAAATGAATGGGTCCTGAGAATTGGAATATTTTCAAGGATACTGGATATACTTCCCTGCCAGCAATTTCATTGTGTCTTTTGATTTGTTTCTCTCATTTATTTATCTTAATCTACCTTGATGACTTGACATATATATTGCGATTATTATTTAGCTCACATTATGTTTTCATGTATTTTTTTAAACTTCACATATATATTTTATTAACTAGTTATAAAAGATAGGAGGAAATTTGATAAGGACATAGTTGTCCATAACATAATTATTTTTTCTCCCCACCCCTACCCCTGAACCAAACAGAGTGTACAGAGGACCAAGCAAGAGAAAGGTGATGATGTCCTTATACCAAACATCTTACAATTAATTGTTCAGCATAAGACATCATATACATTCTAGTTTTATTGGTATATAAGGATACAATGATACATTCAGTCAGAACTCACTCACCTTTAGCAACTATAAGTGCTACCCTACATTCCATGATCCATTTTTTTCCAAGGAAAAAAAAAAACATTGATCAAAGAAAACATCTCTAACTTATCCAACATTTTCAAGAGTTAAATATCCAATAGAGGAGCACATTTATGAATAATAACAGCTTTATACATTAAGAAATCCCTAAGGGGAAAGTCTTATACTAACAAAAAATCAAACAGAATATTTATGTTCTAAATCACTTTTATTTTCCAAATTCAATCCGACAAACTCCATATGATTCTGCAAAATCAGGCATAAAAACCTTATAAAACATACAAGAATGGTTATTAGACCTAACAAAAAAAAAAAAAATCAGAGTGTCCTCTGCAGTTCTGCATTGCCCATGCATTATAAAACTTAAAAAAAAATCTCACAATTTTGGTTCCATAAAAACTTATGTGCCCATGAATTCTGCAATATATTTGATATTTTTCCCCTTGAAAATAGTTACTAAAAAAAAAGCCTGAGACCCAGTGAACCACAATTTTCTTAGAATGTCAAAAGTTGAAAAGAAAATGAACTTGATGGTCTATGCACAATTCATGGAAAATCTTGCATGCTTCCCAATGTTTGCAGGGGTAGATTCCTGGCATAAGCAAAACAGAATGAAAATAAAAAAGAAAGCTCAGTATTGACCATTGATTGCTTTTCATCATTTAGTTGCCTGTTCACTTCTGGAGGATTTCTGCCCTCTTCATCTTTAATTTCACGATCAAACTCTTTTATCAACCTGGACCAAATTACAACATAAGGCTTCATGTTTAGTGAATCACAGTATGCATGCCAAAGGATACTGCAAAATATGTCTGAACCACAAAGAATTTTATTCGCTTTGCCACTGGCACATGTAGAATAGTAAACCACTTCTGCCTCACTCAGAAGTCTGGAAAGCACAAACTCCACAGCGTGATGTAAGGTATCACTGAATCAAATAAAATGTTTCTACATGGAGAAATTCTGATATCCTCCAAGAGTGTCACATCATTTATACTATAAAATACACCAAGTCACTCTCCATGAAGCCCAATTACACTCCATTTTTCCAGAAATAATTTTGCAACATATAAACTATGGGACCCTTTAGCAATTAATGGAATATATTCATGGAGAGAAATATGGGTAATCAGCTGATGAAAGAAATTACAAAAGTATGGAGAGAAATAAAAGCTCCATTTGATGTGACTCTGTTTTTTATTAGAGAATAGAAGTAGGCAAAACTCAAGGATATATAAGAATTTCTCTCAATAGAGAGGCTGTGCAGTGGCTGCATCGCCATCAACCAAAACAACAGGAATTTTACCACAAGATATATGTTAATATAATAAGAAAAACTATTACATTATCATAGTTAATAAGTAACAAACAAATAATTTACACGATACAAGCCTAGGAGGGCTTCGAAAGAAGCTCATGTCATGTAAAATCTGAATTTTCCTTATTCAGCTTGAGCTCAAGTAGCAAACAAGAGACATCAAAATTAGTAAATGCGTGGCTTACCTTTTGCATTCCCTCATTTTCGCTGTGAGTTCTTCCAGCTGTTTACTTTGTCTATTGGAATCTTTAATCTTATCAAGCTTCTGGAAGCCATTTCTGGTCCCCAAAAGGTCAGAGTGTTAAACGCAAATAGCAAATATATGATTCAATAAATTTGCTTACATTCAAGAAGTGTATCTACTAATTCCTAGAGGATGGGCATTAAAAACATGTTAATCATGAAAACAACAACCGGTAAAGATGAAAATATCATAAGCAAAATAAAAGCGAAGTATATTTAAAAAAAAAAAAGGTCATACCAAAATAATAAGTGTAACATTGTACACATGAAAGGTGCAAAAATGCACTAAAAAAATTAGATTCAGGGACTTGTGGAAATTAATACAAGAGATTTATCTCTGTTACTATTACAATGCTCTAGGTCTAATCCAACTTAATCATTTATACAAGTCTAATGACGAAAAAGTACAAAAAAGGGTAAGAATGTATTTCAAGTCTTGAGTCAATTTAAATGACCGGGCAGCTGGCAGAGAACATGGGGAAAAAGAAGTGACTAATAAGTTGAAAGTAGTGGTGTGAGCAAGGTCACAAGTAGGAAAATATTCCAGCAAGTATCCCAACATGAACTTTTTTTTTTTGGGTTTTTTTTTTGGGGGGGGGGGGGGCCAGTTGTAACACACCTAAACTAGCAAGAAGCAAGCAGCTACGAGATCCATTGCATGGTTGCATGCATTTTTCATCAGCAAATAGCTCATAAAAGCAAATTTATGTGCTATCTAAACACAAACTCCTTGGAATTTTGACCTTGAACCCAAAAATATGACGTCACAAAAATTATTTAGTACATAATTCCATCAATATTTACTCAAATAGATTACAGTAGGCTTTTTGTCCAAAAAAAATTGGATCTGACAACTGGTCAAATCCTTAATGAAAAAGCTTCCTTTGAGGGGACAAAAAAGGTTATAAATGCTAACATCTAAGACAGATGATCCTTCAGGTTTGAATTTTACCCAACAAAAATCGAGATCAGAAGTTAGGCTTTAAAGTGTAGCAAGCTAATAAGTAACAAGCAACTAGTGGTCAGAGCTGTTGTACTTTAGTCTCTTCTACTAGTGATATCCAAAATCTCCAGAAGTAGGCATATCAATTACTCCTATTATCCCATGCCATTACCACAATGAATAAAAATAAGGCATATCAAAATTTGTGGGCATAATAAGGCACTTCCATTGCAGTTGGTGGGAAACTGGCTAATTACTTGGCTTTAGAAATGAAAAGCACCTAAATTTTCGAACTGCGACTAGTTTCGTGGCCAAAATACTGCTATACACTAAGTCGGAAGATGCTTGGGGATTAAAAAGATGAACTTAATAAGATGTTAGCATAATACCAGAACTGATAGAGGCACAAAATATTTATCGGGTATTTCAACGGCAAGTGCCCCTGTTTAAGCATTCATCACATCGAGACCAATTATAACCATATATGTGACAATAACGTTGATATCTAAGAAGCATTCACCACAAGGGATACCACCTTACATTATATGAAGACTAGGAGAAAATCAGTAACGTGGCACAGAAATATAAGCGGACTCCGCGATCAAATATGAGAAGAAAGAGTGAATTTATTGAAATACATACGCGAGGGCTCGGAAGTGGTCGCGAATTTCACCATGGATCTGCTCCAACTGAGGGCTCATCTGCAAGTTGGTGGCCATGGCTGACGGAGATGTAGTGTCCCCTGAAGTCCCCACAAAAACTGAACCCAACAGAAACCCTAACTCGTCGATTTGGTGACAGATTGCCAAGGATGGACGACCATTGATTTTCGAGAGGGAAAATGAAGGCAGAGTGGAGAATCGAGATTGCACAGGAGATCTTGGGTTGAGTAACGTGGAATCATGGGAAAAGGGGGAACAAGGAAGAGAGGTAGAGAGAAGAAAAAAACAGCTGTATCCTGTCCCGGTTGGTAAATTAATTTGTTTTTTCTTTTCGCCAATAACTAATTTATGTTATAATGCCAGAGTATGTGCCAATGTGCCACAAATCAGGTTATCATTTATCAATGATTCAACATATTGATGATGATGATTATTGTTAAATTCTCATATTAATTTTATGAGCTTATTATTTTTATATTTTTTAATTTATAAAATTATGACAAATAACTTGTAAAATTAAACTAAATATAAGTTCAATTAGACTTATAAATTAATGTCCATATTTACTATTTTTATATTTTTAATTTATAAAATTATGTTAGTTTATTTATAAACTCAGGCTAGATGTAAATTCAATTAAACTCGTTGAGCTTGTTGACTTTTTATTAAGTTGAATAAACTAAGTATATATTATATATATGTTTAGTTCAGGTTATCAAAAATTTATTTGTTAAAAGTTCATTTAGCAAAAGTCAGTGTAATGAAAGTCAATTGTTATAATAAAAGTTGTGTTTAAATACATTTTTTTAAAATTTAATTTAATAAATTAAAAGTTATTTAATTATGGTAATAAAATGTGCTTTTAAATGTACAATTATCATAAAAGATATTAATTTACGATGATTATAATTTTTATTATACAAATATAGTATATTAAAATGATTAAAAAATGTGATAAAATTTTAAATAATATAAAATTTGATGTGTTAAATGATAAAAAATATAAACTTTGATATGATGAAAAATTTTATATAATAAATAGTTCAGCATATATTAATATTAAAAATTAATATAATTTAAATAAAATATATATGATAATCTAATATAGATTAATACTAAATATTAATATAATTAATTATTTAATTTATAATGCTCATTTTGATATCTAGCATAAATATTAGAGTTAATATAAATATAATAAAAATATAAATGTAAATATTGCAACCGTGCACATGAGGGATTATGGAAAAATTGGGTAGTTAAAAATATCTTCTTTTTTTTTTTTGGTAAAGGCACCCACTCCCAAAACGTGAAAAAACAAAAGTAAGTTATAGTTACATTTAAAAAAAGACTTCTAAGATTATTGTTTATATTTGTCAAGATCATTTTCAAAGTTCTTGAAAATAAAACTAAACAATATTTACATTTAAATTATATTTTGAAAGGACTTTTTAAATGACAAATGTAAAAACCAAATGGGCCCTACTGGTTCTGAGAAGTGTGAGGACCCAGATCAAAGAAAAATAAAATTTAAAGAGCAAAAATTAACATTAATGAAAAAGAAATAAAAAAAAAATAAATTGCCTTATTTTAAATTTTCATATTTTTTGTAATAGTATATTAATATATATAGACTTAATTTCAATTATTTATATCTAAAATATACTTAAATCAAATTTTAATTATATTTATATTTTAATTATTTAATTATGTATTTTTAATGACTATTTATTAATAAACATAAACTTTTACAAGTTTGCAATTCAAATTTTCATTCTCACCACGAGCTTAATTAGACTCGCTAGTTTGATGACTTAATGATAATAATGAATAACTAATAACACATAAATTGAAACTTACATAAAGTTGCATTTTCCATAAAGTACAAACAATATAATTCATTCAATGTTTATGTGGACTCAAGTCTTTATATATAATATAATATAATATAATATAATATTTTTAAAATATAAAAAAAGAGACATTATGCTACTCATATCAAATTAGTATATTTATTTTAGATATCAATCATTAATCAATATCATCAATGTCAAAATATAATGGCAAGTTTGAAAAACACACGCACAATGTGTAAAAAGTGTGAAACAATTGTGAAAAATGTTGTTTTAAAGTATATAATCCCAATCAATTTTATTTTGATTGGTGAGCATGGGTTTATTGTGATGACTTATCACGTATTATTGATAAATCAAGTAGTTATTTCTTGCTGTTGTAAATATTTAATATGTATTGATTTTGTTATTTAACATTTAAAATATATTTTTAAAAATAACAACCCGTACAAAATATGAGTGATAAACCAGTGTTTTTGAAGACACAGTATGACTGGCACTGGACTTCATGTGAAGAGCTCACAATCAGCTCATCCTGACTAAATGAAGGAATTCCATTGCTTGCTTAATCATCGATTTGATTATTTATTGCCAATGTGTTATCCAATTTCCTAATTTAAATTCCTAATTCCCTATTTATCTATGTGGTTTTTTTTTGGGGGGGGGGGCGAGCCCATGAAGCAAAAACCCCATCTGTCCACTTGAAAACTAACGTTGTTTGGATTCTTTGACCCAAAACAAAAAGGGCTTGGATACTATACAATACATTCATCTTAGATATTTGACAAAGAAGTGGGGGTTGGGGGGTGGAGCCCATAAAGCGAGTTTGATTCAAGAAAAAGAGGCCCACACCACCTCGAATCATTTCAACCTGCCAACGGGGCCTCCATTATAGTACACATGACGAGAGTTTATTTGACATATGATAAAAGTTTATTTGAGAAATCCAATTATTTATTGAGTTTGGTAAAAGTATGCTCTAGATATAATTTAAATGTACTTTTTAACATTTTCCAAGCAAGTTCTAAATATGAAATCATTGAGTTTCAGTTAGTGTGAATACAAGAAATACATTTGAAAGAGTAACCCTGACAATAATTAAATCTAACTATTGGATAGCCATGTTAAAAAGAAAATAATAATAATAATCAACCCACGATGCAGGTTCCATTATGGGATTTTCCATTAAGCCATCAACTCTGTATATTTCATAGAAAAATTTAACTTGCAATCCCTTCTAATTTTTTTCAACTTTAAATTAAGTCTGTGTAATTTAATCTGTTTAGATCAAGTTCTTATAATTTAATCAATTGAAGGCCCATTTATTTAAGATTAAAAAAATTAGATAGTAAATTTTTTTTATAAAAAGCAGACATTATTTTATGTTTGATTACAATAATAAAAAATAATTATTAATTAGTTATTTTTAAATTTTATTATATCTTTTTTATTTTTATTTTATAGATATAATTTATTACTTAATTATTTTAAATTTCATGATATGTTTGCATGTCCCACCTTTTCAGGATATTCTTTTTTGTATTAAATTATTTTTAAAAGCTACACAAAATAGTTTCTTACACAAATGAATTATTTTCAAAAATTTAAAAAAAACATAATTAATTTTATTTATATTTTTCAAATTTTAATTATTTTTAAAGGTTTAAATAAACATAACTAAAACTCATGAAATGGATTTTAAAAAAAAATAGGGCAAAATAAATGGGCTCTAAATATGTTAATCCGGTTAAAATTCTTCAATTTTTACTTAAAAAAAATTGAAACTTTTATATTCTCATTAAAAGATTGTAAACGTTAAAATTGATTACATGATTTGTACAACTAAAAAAATTATATAATTAAATCATGTCTTCTAAATAATTTTTTATACATATAAAATTTTTATAAAAAATTTAATAAAAATAAAAATCATTGCATTAGATCGTGTTTTATTTTTTTCTTTCTTGGCCATAAGTGTTAAATCAATATTTATATAAATTTTAAAATCATTTTTCTTTTAGAAAAATTAATGATTTATTAATAATTTTAACCTTGAAAAACTAAAATATTTAGTAACCTATCAAATAATAAGGCCTTCATTGATAAAAACGAAATAAATAACAGGAACTCAATTTAAAATCAAGAAAAATAATAAGAACCTGCACATTAATTTTTTCTATTTTATATTTAATGAAATGAAATTAGCTAATAAACTAAATTCAAATTCCCATAAGGTATTAACTTTTAATATCCTCCCGTCTAGAATAAAATTACCTCCTACATGAAAACATTTATTTCTTTCATTTAAAAGTATAAAATATTTTTAATTAAATTTTATTTTCATATAAAATAGTTACTTATTTTTTAATTAATCTTATCTTTTTTTATTTATCTCTATTAAATATCTTATAATAAATATAAAATTATTATTGATAAAAGTATTTTTAAAAAAATAATAATTACTTCTTAAAAAATTAAAAATATTTTATATTTTTTAATTTTAAATTTTTAAATAAAGAGAGTAATGTTATAAAAATAGCATTATGGATTATGGAAGCCGGAGCCGGACCCTCGCCATGTCACGTCGTTCGTCTTTTTCTTTGACCTGACATGCTTATGCTTCGAAAGTGTTTCGACGTGATTCGTCATCCAACGATGTTAAATTTTCAGGCCACAAACAAAAAACAAATCAACTAATTAATTATCTAATCGCTATATAATATAATAATAAAGGCACTCTGTGAACCCGGACAAGATGTACAATTTATTAGCATAATTTTTGCCGGTCGCGTTGACTGTTAAGCTCACCCCTCGCTTGCCAATTGTCATCATTATCTCCATTAAGTCCTCCGCAAGTTGACATGAAATTTGAAATCTACTTTATGTCAATATTTTGAATATGCTACTTTGGATTCGGTGGTTAACATAATGTATTCTAAATCACTCTTTCGCACTCTTTGATATCTCAAAAGTATCCAATAGAAACTATTTTTGCTGCTCATCAATTATTTGAGCCCGAAGGCCTCTGGCTGACTTGGATTCTTATTTAATTATATAGGAATAATTAAAACACCCGTTTTTTAAGGAAAATATCACATTATTTTATAATTGAATTCTAACTGAAAGATGAAGCGGTAGGCAAAAAAATAAAAATATTGGTAAAATAAAGAGACTACATTAGAATTAAATAAAGGATTAAGGATAAATTTATCCTGAAATTTATTTAATAAGAGCACCTAATATTTTAAATTTTTTATTTAAACAATATCTTTCTTCAACTTTTTAAGAAGGGTACCATTCTACCCTGCAGTTAACTCATACCATTGTTGACTGTTAAATCAATAACTTTGACCATTAGACACATGCGTGACAAGCTGAGTTGGACTCTCGTGTGAAAACAATCT